CTTGCTCGCATCAGAGAGCATGGCGATACCTCTCGCCCACTCTGGTATGATCATACCGGAACAATATACTGTCCATGTTGTTCATAAGTCAACTACTTGCCAGCCGCTTTCCGACCCACTGCACCGAAGCAACGTCAAAAAACTCCCTGCTCAATGGAAATTCGAAGTAAAGACAAAGTTTCCCTTTCGTGGTTCGAAGCCGACCTGCTTAGCACTGCACCGCCACGCCTCTAGGCGTTCATGCGTCTCTGCCGAAGAAGAGTAAGTCAAGATGCCTCAGGTCACTCATGACAACCCGCAGACCGGAAGACGCTACCATCTTTTTGCCCACGCCCTCAGCGGAACGATTCTGGAAGAGGAACGGCTACGAAGCCTGGCCCGTATGTACAGGACAACAGCGACAATTACTGTGAACTCTGACGATTGTGCGCAAAGTCTAACGAAGCTACCACCATAGCGGAACTCTTGAAACTCAACCGAACACGCTGATTGGCTCTCGCCTCGTACCAGCGACAATATAGAACTTTCAACACACCACCATTTTTATAATGGTACTTTTGGTGTATGCTGAGATGGGCAGTTGAATGTTAATAAATATTTTTCATCGTATCTGTGCTCTCATTTGGCCACCTTCACATAGCTATTAACCTTCAATGCGTGTAAGAAAAAATCCCCGGAAGAAGCAAACCTCCACGACGATGTCCTACACATAAATGCTATTAATAACTCAAGAGATTTAGATAATCTAACATGAACATAACACACTGAATACGAAAACTCAATCAACAAATCCAATCTACGAGTAATTTCGTGCCTGTTTAACCAGTATTTATTTACCTCAACCCAGTTAGCGACGTGCTTCACACACTCGACACAGATCCCATTGCTAACCTCGACGGAGCCCAGGTACTACAAATAGTGTCACGTGAGAAAATGTACAACTTGATCGGCGTTTATTACTTGGACAGCGAATTCATCGAAAATCTCCGGATAAGGATCATACGGTGGTTGTGGTAGTTCGATGGACATCGCTCCAGCGAAACGGATTTGGGACCCGGCCCTGTATGTAGCTGTCGTCGTCGATCGACCACCGTTTTCATCAAACAAGGAGATGATTCGTCTGTTGTCGACCCCGAGCGACTTCAGGATTCGTTGCTTATGTCCCTTTTTCCGGATCGGAATCACCTACAAATTGGAAGTCCTTCGGCTACCGAGAAAAAAACAAACCAACCGTTGTACTTCTAAGCTGTGCTCGCATAGATGATGTATTTTCTGAACGGTGTCCATTCCGTGTCTCAAAAAGTCGCCAAGGTACTCGTGGCACTTCAGAGCAAGTAACCAGTCAGAAACATAGGAAAATTCGTGCAGACGCGGTATTCTCTTCTGTGGATACAGCGACTTCAAGCTGTCCATAGCTGCCCTTCGATCCGGACCAGAGCATATGCCTAGCAAATCCAGCGCGTCAGAATCCATTGTTTGAGCCTAAAATCACACAGTATTAAAAGTAGTACATTTAATGATTAGACTTCGAATTCTCATTTTGATTCTGCCTTCCTCATCGATATAAGTTTCCGATTCGATAGTCATACAAAAAGCACATTTTAAGACTTTCATTTTTTCTGTAAACAAAATTGGCAATCCTCAAAGCAACAATGTGTTATTCATGTCAGTACATGTATTAACATTAGAAGATTACAAATTGCTTGCCCTGAGGATGGCCACCACGATTTGACGGAAAATAAAACCTTAACATCAATCTTGTGTACCGTTTATAACCAAGGAATCGGTCATGCAGATAATGCGTCCAGCATTAAGTACATTGTGATGAAACTGTCCCCCTGATTTGCAAGGGAGCAAATATTCTTTGTTAATGAAATCCTTTACCAGCTCCATCAAACGAGCAACTCGCTGCTCATACTGACTTCGTTTCGTGTTTTTTTGATCTTGACTAAATTACCAGCTTGAGGAACTTTGAATTTGAAGAACTTAAGAACTTAAGCTTGAGGACTTTAAACAAATAGCATGCAAAACCCTTTCGACCAAGCCTGATGCTTCAAGGCCTTGACCAGCATACTAAAAATAACGGATCTATAATGGAGAAAAACTTAAACTGTTGTTTAATTTTATTGTGCGCACTCAGAGACAGAGCGTCACCACTACGTTGTCTGTTTCACTAGTTTACCATTGATAGAAGAAATAAACACAAAATGCTGATGGCAACTGCATTGCCAATCGAATAATTTACTTCATTGTCTTCGTTAGTAAAGTGATACAGAGAAAATTTATTCATAACTTTAAGTTCAGTATTTAATATCACAGAGAAATAAATGTAAACAATGCAATTAAAATAAAAGTAGGGCAAAAGTTTACAATTAAAATTCAATAGTTATTACTCTCTAAATGTCTGATGTAAGGTAGATGAAAACAGGCCTATTTCATACGGTTTTAATTCTAACTAATTCTGCGTCATTCTAGTTCAGCTTTAACGTGCTCAGCTTCTCTTGCAGATTTTATTTCTCTAAGTAAAAAATCAGATAGTTTCTAAAAACAGCATACATGCTACAGAAGTGATGAAGATATTTCTAATTTTTTAATAACTCATATGCAATAGTACAATAGCAATGTTGTGCATAAAGCAATTTAACAGTGGCCATTATATTGTAGTTTTTAAAAGCCAAGCGGACTGTTAATCGATTGACAAACCACTACCGATCGATCGATCTTTCAATCTGTATTCTACGGACAAAATCACTGGGTCAGTAGCAACGCTATGGAGATTATAATGTTGTCTGCAACATCTAACAATTTTCTGTCATCAAACAACCATACATAAACTGAAAAAATGGTTCAGTATGAATTGCAATATCGATAATCGATTAGCATCCAGTCAAAGATAAACCTGGGCTGCATAAAATAAAACCGTGCTTTATGTTGCCTTCATTTATGACTACAATATATCAACGTAACAGTCGAAGATTGAACGTTTGCTTCGCGCGTTGATGGTTGTGCTAAAAACAACACAAAAAGCGATTTACTTATAAAATACGCGGAGAGTTTAGATAACTGAATGACTGATGACCATCACTGCTTTGATGTGTCTTACGGGAGGGGACTTCCTCTACTCTAACTCAAAGTAAATCAGCCTCGATGGTACAGTTCTTTCTTGTCGTCTGCAGGGGGCCTTGTCGCTACGAACGACAAAAAGCATTTAATACATTCATCCATTTCTGTATTTTGAAGAAATCCCGTGAGACTGGCCGAAAAACGCTATTATTCAATCATTTCATTTACGTAATTGAATAAACCGTGTTGGGTGATGTTTCGACAAATACGCGAAATACGTTAAAGAAATTTTTATCTAAATTTAAAGTGAATCTCATGTCCATAATTCTTGAAATATGATTGATAATTACAGCAACTGTTGGCATTTTCTGGCTTGCAAATGTTCGCGATAAGTAACAATTAAAAAGAATAAACTGTCCATAACGGTGTACGCAAGTTTGTCGAAATGTTTCTTATCCGTTGATCAGCGCGATAAGCCATAGGTTAGATTTCGAGCTGTATCCGAGAATTAATGGCGACCTTAAATTTCGAAACAGCGTGATTTGATATCACTTAACATATCCCAGCGAATCGAACGCATGCCATTTTAGCAAACTTAAAATATCCTATTTTCTAAGTTGTCCAATGAACGTGGCCGAGAGCACAGTTGACCTTGAATCGGTCAGTGCTGCACATGAAACAGCCACGTTTTAATCCATGCTTAATCTGCAGGATATGGACCAAAAAAAGTAATCACTAAATTATGCTGCAAATTATATTAACCTACTGATCATTATTGTACCGTATGCATACTTAGTTCTGCCACTTTCTTAAAACCCTGGTTGTGACGGCTTTGAAGAAAATCAAGAATTATTAGAAACGTCAGGCGTTCTGTGAAATGTAATCATAGGGAGTAAACTCGCGATGAGCATGTTAGTGAAGACAAAAATGATTTTCATGAACACATGATATCTTATAAGACGACGATGTTTCCAATGGATCTGCCAGCATTTTTCAGTCAAAATGCGTTTTCGGCTTTGTTTGTGTGCAATGGATCGCAGTCGGTTGAGATACTCACTTGGTTCTTACGGGGCTTCAGTTGATATCTGTAATTGGCACCGTCAGATGCTGTCTCGCGATGATCTCTTCACTTCCTAATCCTTTCAGAACATTCAGTCACAGCTATCCAGGTATTTTGATGTCTCCAATCAATAGTCTCCTTTCGGAGTATTATCTGTTGTTTAAATCACGATAGATTTCAGCACCATCCATTCAAAAATGCCTAATCGATGTTGCCGTGGTTGCTACTCTGGCGAAATCGTTAAATCAAATCAAATCAACATCAAGTATAACATTGGCCTCAACTGCCGACTTGCTTAGAATCTTTTACTGCAGAACAGGTCGCCTACTCGCATTGTCCTATTTTCCTGCTCTGTAATTTATGGGTCTGATGGATGGACTCGAACAATCGATCCGAAAAAAGACCCCTGCTTCTTCAGTGATATCCATTCTTTTACTCTCGTCAGCAGTGGTCTTTGACCCAAGTTGGTCTCTGACCCAAAATGCCTAGAGAAAGTGCATACTCAAGCAATATCGAGTTTTGTATCCTGATTCCAATCATTTGCGCCGTGAAAATCAATGTCCATTTTCTTGACAGGTACATGAGAATGGAGCCACAATTTCGACCGAACAACGTATTGTTCTACTAAAATGCTACACGTATTTATAACCCCAGAGGCTTAAATACCATGCAGGTATCGCTCGTTGACACTTGAGATTCTTAGGCTTAATGCTACAAACACCGACTCCGGAAGAATCTTCTGTTTATTAATATATTGATGGATAGCAATTACTACTGATCACGTGTATTAAGGGAAACTTTACCTGTCGTTATGATTTTTTACTGTGGCATATGCTCTGTTGTGAAAGATTTTCAGATTCAGATTGGTATGTTGAAATGCTGCCGAGCACCCAAGTTTAATAAGCAATGGTTAACCTAATTACGTTGCTGCGATACTACAAAAATGTGCTTTGAAAGAAAACAGAAATTGTAATTCATCCTAGCTACTTATGACGTTCAGTTTAATTACACAAAGACAATATTCCGTCTAACCGAATCTCAGTCTTCAACAGTCTAACTATCGTGTTTGTTGTAGTCAGCCTGCAAATCAAGGAAACAGCGCAAATTAAATCTTCCCTTCCTTGAAGCAGCACATGGTATATAGTTACGAAAGCTTTTTGAAAAAATGTACCACGACTTTTACTGATAATAATATGCAGGGTGTAAAACGTTTTGGCGTCAGACCAAGGTACCGCCTTTACCAGCTGCAAAGAACAATACATCGGTATGGCAATGTATGACCGTCAAGATACTGCTGGTTTCTCTTGTCGGAAGTTTAGATTCTCGCCGTGACGGTGAGACATAAACGTCCTCATCTCTGCTTATGAAGCTGGCTCTTGTCTGGAATAAAAGTGCTTAAATAATCAAGCCTTTTTTCTAGCTGTCAACCGTTATTGGTAAAATTGGGTCGTGAAAATCAGCGTTGCATCCGGTGGAAACTTGGGTACCCTCCAAATTTAATGCAAAATAACAATACGGAACCGGAATTTAACATATCACTGGTCCACCACCAATGCCAATAATTACTTCGGCTGTAAGCAAATGCATTTCGTATGTTCGAGTAATTTCAAAATCGATACGGCATATGCTCGAAAAGAAAAATATCCGACAGGAATTCAAGATCTCTCAATGAATACCAAAGACAAGACATGCCATCTATTCCATAAACTTCATGAAATGCCGGGTGTCTGTTGCCAGATATTTCATTATAAACAAGGACAGCAAAACACAAGAGTGAAGCTACCATCACCAACCCAACTACCGAAGAAGATAAACTACGCTTGCAAACAAAAGCAGTGGCTCTTAATTAAATTCTCACTTGATACAGCGAACGTATCAAGTGTGCACGTCTTAATGGTCTTGCATGGCCTTACCAATGAACAACGACAGCGTCCAACAAAGGTCAGTGACATCCTGCACCAAAACGTGTATATAACTGATGTATAATTCAAGTTATGATACGTTACTCATGAATCCGCTCACGATGTCAAGTACGTATAAACTTTTTCAGCAACTGACTGTTGGTTTTAAATATCAACAGTGTGGATAAATTATAAATAGCAAATAAGTACTTAGAACGAAACTTGCTGATGCTGATGCGTCTGCGAAACCTGCAATCGCATATTGCAGTCGCAAAAAACTGAAATCTGGTCAGTCTGTATATTGTCAGTGTGTAATTAAAATTAACGCCGTGAGCTCTGACGGGAAGCCACGTCAGTTTATGTAGGAATTTTCATCCACAATGGAGGAATTTTAGAAAGCGTTATAAAAAGTGATTTCGACATTTAAAGCAGTAAAATAATTGACACAAATCTTTGCTGTACCCACAACTATTGAATCGATACCATTTATAATCACATATACGTATTTCAGGCTTCTGAAGTAAGTTTAATGCATAATATGTTTCTCACAATGCCGTGTGGAAACAGCATAGAAGCCTAAGCTATGAATTATGTTCGCTTTGTGACAAATTTGAGCAATTACAAAATTTGTAATATTCGATTCCTGATCTACGGAAAATCTCACTGTAATAGTAAAATTAGGTGATGAAAGTTTGAACGGTTTTATAAAGACTTGAATGCTACTTAATCAACAGATCGAAGGTGCGAGAAGTGTCGATTTTACGTACCAGGTATTCGAACTCGTCATAACCGTTTGAGAGGAAGTTGTCGGTGAGTGCTTTCAGATCCAATGAACTTAACCATTGTTCAACGGTTCTATATTCTTTAAAACAAAAACCTTATTCAAAGGTGAGGCTGACTACCTACCTTTGTCACAAACATTTAAGCTCGAATTGTCAATGTCTCCGTACGCGTTCAACAGCTGCTTCAAGCCAATTGCAGTTTCTTCATCTTGCAATGTCGCATCTAAACAAATCGGTCATAAGGGAGCCGACGGATTTGTTTGCTTAAAGAGCAACGTCTAACCGTTATTTACTGCAACATCAAAGCCTGACAGCGGCTGTCTCGTGGTGTGTCCTCTGGATCCCGCAAAAGTATCCGCATCGTCTCGGATGACACCGGATCGTAGTGCAGTACTAGCATCGGATAGTCGTTGAGCCTTGACCAGTGACCAGTCGGAACTGCACCGGTTAGTCGATGAACCGACTGCAGACCGAAACGTGGACACTCCGTCTGCAGGATTTTGGAAACTTTCGGTGTTTTGGTTATCAGTGTGACAGCCGCGGTTTGACAGACCCGGCTGAAAGCGGTCGATGGGTGTCACATATTCGTTGCATCGATGAGACCAAGAAGAGGGCAAGACGTTGTCATATCCGCTTGCGGTACGAGGGGGAACCTTCCGTATAGCACCGGTAGACATACGAGAAGGGCATCGACGTTCAAATACGGTTTCTGAAAAGTTTCCGCTCTCGGAAGTAGACGCACATCTGCCATTATGGGTTGAATCATGCAGCTGCGTTTCACCGTCGCTGTTCGCATGGACATCGGAAAGAGGGACGGCCGGTAGGTAATCCCAAATTTTTTGATGAAACGCATTAATGTAAACATTTGGCACTTCTGCAGGTCCTGGAATTTCCGAGCGATACCCTAGAAATGCAAATATAAAAAATTAATATGTTTAAAAGTGTTACAGATTCTGCCGCTGGTTTAATCCACCTCATGTAGCAGTACATGTACTCTAGGCTTCGTTGTATAATCAATAACGAACCATCACAAACCAAGAAACTCGTTGAGAAACTGAAAGGCGCCTCTCATTGTCGGGTAAAACGGTTCCAAATACAGGAGACATGACAAGATCTTTCCTCCGACGGAAGCTGACCACGGAAGAAATGGAGGCTAATTTAACCGCTGGCAGAATGCTTCAAACACAGACCTGTTCGCAAAAAGGCCTGGAGGTTTTGTCGAAGGCGACTATGCTTAAATTATTCGAAGTAATCACCTCCTGCATGTCAAACATAAACAATATAGGGCAAGCAAAGCTGTCAACCTTAACGCTCCAAAAATGAGACAGTAGGTCTTAGCGTGCCGATAGTCGTTAAACAATAACGACTACATATATAAATTGCAAAAATAAAACGAACAATAATAAAATCTCATTTAGATCACAAAAAACAGAAGTCACAGTGGCTGGCATGCACAAGAAAAATATATCCAGCTCGTCCATCGACAGAGTGTCATTTAAGATACGCCTTTCAAAGGAAGCTTGAAGGGGAACCACCTCAAAGGAGTATACGCAGTTTTCCGTAGATCTATGAAGACATCTTGTATACAACTACATCGCTGGAACACAAGTAGAACATCAGAGGCTGTTCACAGCCTCAGCTGCACTCATGGCGATATTTACATTTGAGACAGAGGACGGAAGAACTATAGGACTCCAGAATCGAGTAAGTGAACATATGCTGACGGTCATTTGTTTGTCACTGGACCAAAGTTCCGCCGTAGCGGAGTACCTTAACATGAAGCACCACGCTATCCGGTGGGATGCAAGGAATTTTTTCAAAAAGAAACAAGCAAGTTACCATAAGTAACAAAAGCAGAACTGACACGCAATAAAATGAACAAAGCATAGAATACCTCCAGCCTGGTTACCGCTACTTCAATCGCAGCAGCTGGATAGATTCAAATAACGCTTAAGGCCACTATGAGAAAGATATCCACCGTAACTGATTTGTACCAAATTCTGAATTCGCATGAACTCACATAAACATTGATTCACTCGCAGCTAAGCTAAGAATGCGTAGCGAATGAAGGTTCACAATGCAAATGACGAACACTGACTTAGCTATGACCCATCCAACAGTGGCTTACCGCCGCAAAATTCAAGATCGTTGCTGACCTTGTCCTGAATTTGACTCGGCAGTTGGTTGTAATCTGATTTACAAGAAGGTATAATTCATGCACATCAATAAATTATTTATGAATTTTATTATCCCAGATACGGCCTGCAGTAAAATCCTGAAGAGCAACATCTGTCATTTTCATTTTCTTTAATCCTAACATATCTACAGCACTTAAATGTTATCTCCAAAAGCAAGGCTCCTGAGTTATTTACAAAACACAATTACTGCTATCCATTCTATACAAGAAGTTGAACTCCTTGATTAATTATGACAAATCTGATACTAGTAAGTGGACTAGATTAACAGCGAAAACTGTAATAAAATTTATACTGATAAAAGACTCAAGTATGAGCAAAAACTACCAAGATATCATTGAAAGAGTAATCCACCCATAGCACTCCGGATATATAGTGCATTCCTTAGAATGCAAACACAAGTTTAGCAGTAAAAGCATTAGCATCCTGACCGTTAAAACAACAAACTTCGCTTACTTATTAAAGCCTCGGCATATTTCGCTGAACAAGGGCAAGGCACGGGTGTGTAACAAGTACGCTCCAGTGACAACTGTTTTTCTTAGAAATTCAGGGGTATAATCTTTCATTATATCCCTAGTGATGACTCCTGTGCTGCAACGCAGAAACGTCGGACTGAGAGAGAAATGATAATCTTATGCCACGCCTGAAGTCATTCTTATTGAAAATATGGGGCGTTTGAAATAACTCTGGCGAGAAAGGAAAACGAAAAAACTACTAGTCGCCCAGCCGACTGGCAGAAGACCCAAGGGAGGGCCAAGTATATTGGAAGAGTCTACTGTAGACTCCATTTTTCTTGTACCGAAGCTGAAACACTGGCAGAGGATCCAAAACGTTGGAAGCACTGTCTGACGCGCCTGTCTCCGAGACCCGAAAGAAGAAACGGTCATGGCGAATAAAATAAGGTGTAATGTTAAATGAATTAAAATCGAATTTTTATTTAATCCAAAGGCAACCGTCAGTGATCTTGTCATAGGCTTCCTCAATGTCCATAAAACAAACCTAAACAAGATGAGGAAACTCAAACGATTTCTCAACAATCTGGAGTAACGCGAAGCTCTGGTCACAGGTGCTCGCGCGTGATCTGAAGCTGTACTTCTGCTATTGTACCTTAAAGTCAATTATTCTGCGGCATCTCCCATCTAGCATGTTTGTGTTGACTTTTCCCAGGAGGTTCATTAAAGCAATGCCCTGATTATTGCATCACACTCCATGATCTCCCTTCTTGAACAGGAGCAACAATACCCCCGTTTCCCAGTTCACCGGTGTCCTCCCTATTCCCAATGGAGCTTTACACATATACACAAAACATGTATTAGCCACAACATGCCTTACCACTTTTCAAACTTTTACTTTTGCTGACACGGACGAGGTAGTCGTCATAGCGTTCGCTAACGGCAAAACCATTAGTAGAATTATATATGTTTAACGTCAGATCTGGCCACAGTCACTGACGTTGCTCATTTCTCATCTTGGCTTAGGACCGACAACGGTAGAGTTTAAACGAAACCACTGAATCGCTGTTATGAAAACCGACAATGTCTGATGAAATTTAACTTACACCGTAAAAGAGTAAAAACTGGAAAAATAATGTACCAACTTGATATCAACAAGGGTATAGCATGAGAACATCTATAGGATTCCAGAGTTGTAATGTCTATTTAAGATCTACGAAGCTGAATGCCGATGTGAACTATCAACTTTTGAACTTTCCTGCTCTTCTGTATAGATTAATCCAGCCTGGTTTTGAATATATAATTAAATTATAATGGACATAAACTCGCACCTAAAATTCACACTTCTACAACTTCATACTTCTAGCGTTTAACAAAACGCCACCCTTCCATGTCATGATGTAAGTTTGTTTACGAGTCTGCCTTTGGAAACTCCACGCCTTTGGTGTGTTGAAGAAAAGGACGATTCTGAATTAAAAAAATGTTCAGTTAGTAAAGTTTAATAGATTTATTCTCAAGATCCGCCTTACTGCATAGAAAGATTTTCCGTACAACAGAATGCTGTGCAAAGGAAACACCGAAATTCGAAATGGTAGCCTTCTACAGAGAACTGCCACCAAAATGCCTATGGAATACCAATCAAAGATCAACACAACAAATTAAAACCGTTTATGCTTCCGCCATGAATGACCGCTATTTATTACTGAGACGAAACTTGCACAGAAGTTTCCTCATTCTACCAGAAGGATTATTTCAAGGTAAAAGACAAGGCAATTCATGCACACTGAATATCAAATAGTCAAAATATTTTGACTATGTATTCTGAAGAATGACTTTCATTCATCCGTGTTCAGTCTATTTGATGGCGAAAGCAGACTTCACTTCCTTCTTATTCACTAGAAAGTGAAGAAGAAGAAACAGAAGAAGAAAAACGAAATGGTTCGGCTTTAACTGCATCAAGTGCTCATTTCTCCACAATGAGCAACTCCAGCGGGCTAAGCAAATAACCGTTAGATTCAACCCTTATAGTGGCCATGATCCATTAAATTATTTTAAAATTAAATACTCCAAGTGCATAACCTGATACCCGTGCAGTTATTAATTTGTGTACATAAAGCTGACGAAAAACTATTCTAAAATTAACTATAAATTTAAAACCTACCTTCGATAAGTTTTATACAATCGTCCCAAGCGTCCTCGACAGCGATCATTTTTGTAATCGTAGGTCGTTTGCCATCTCGATGTTCTTTCAGTAAGTCGACGGTTGTCAAGCCATTGTAATCTTTCGAATCCTTGTTGATGCCTAAATGTTTCGCCATCCAGTAGCTGTCATTTTCTGGTATATGAAAATCTTACCGCGGTCCAGCAGCAGTTTAACGACATCCAGTTTTCCAGCCAAAGCTGCAACGTGCAACGCGCTTCCTCGTTCCGTCTTAAAATCAAAACTTATTCAAGCTGAAGATCATAGAATTATCAGAATCTTACAAAACCTGATATTCATAAAAGTTTACAAATGCTTCAAATGCAAAAAACAAGATGTAACTACAGCGCCGGGTCATTGTAGCAAATGTAAGGTTTCTAATCAATATCACTACCAATATCAATAGCACAATTTTCAAAAGTCCAGAATAAATTAACTGAATAGGAACAATAATTAATTAATAAGAAATAATGGAATGAATTAATTGAATATAAATAATTAACAGGAATAATTAACAGAATAGGACAATCACAATTTTGTCGTTCCGGTCAACCAACGTTCAACGGTGGCTGTCTTCCTAAGGATGCGGTTCTGTAATAAAGCAAAATACCCCATTCGGATCTTCTGAACGCCTAGTAAAGCAAGGGTTTTATTTCGCAAGTGTACTGAATCTTAAAATACAATAATACAGGTAAAAACAAAGGTTTTATTTTGGAAGAAATGTACAAAAAACCGCATCCGCAACCGCAACTAAAGGTGAATGAGAACTATCTGAATGGTTACTTATTAAATATGGAGTCCAAGACTGTTCTAGACTTTCTCATCCAAAAGTGCTGACAGTGGCAGAGTTGAAAAGCTCGTGTACAGGGAAAAACGACACATGATATCTTCTGCCAGATATGTTGCTGAGGTGGAGTACGTACAGGATAATATCTTAGTGAGTAGAACGAGAGAGTTTCGTTACTTGACGACTCCCGTCTACGTTTCATGGTTGTGAAAGTCGGCCGCTTTCTTAATGTCTAAAAATGTAAAGTTATGAGAAAGCCATCGGGCACAACAGAACGGAATGGCACCGAGACACGAAGCGGCAGAAGGGTTCACTTGCTCAAGAATCACTGTTACATTATTTCTGGCGAAAGGGTCAATCAACAACCGGATGCGCCCAGGTAGATGGCTAGAATTCAAGCCTCTACATAGATGAGTCTTTCTGAACAAACCGAACAGGATAGTTTAAAGGTGCTACCTACGGAAACGATTGGATGGGTTTATCAGCAGCACTTAGGATCGGATGGGCCTTACCACTGGCTGGTTACCGCAGAATGATCCGTGTGAATGAACGAAAGAAATGCAATTAAAAGGATAAGCCCGCTTTGTAAAAATGATCACTGAGTTAGATAAAGGGAAACTTGTATTGTTGGTATACAGGCAGTTACATATTTTCGCTTGTTTTAAAAAATTACCGTTTCAGAGTACGTCTTTCTTTCTGCTACAACTCAGGAGAGGGTGAATTTTTGCCGCCATTGATTTTGGTCATGTCTGATTTTTCATAGCTGATAATGATTATGCGTTTACACAAAAATCCGTGTGTCCCTTGCCTCAGCCAGGTTCAGTGTTGCCATACAGCACAGAGTTCGCTGTGGCAACGAAATAGAATAAAGACGGTTGAGCAGGGCAGAAAAGGTCACCTGGCTTTGACAGCAGAACAGTGTGAAATGACTGGCTTCAATTTCTTCTGAGTACAGTTACCCTACGGAAGACAGAAATCATTAAAACTGATTGACGTTGCTTGACAAAGTAACTGAGCTTGAGTATTCGAAATCGGTAATTATCGACTAGGTGTCCCGTATTTGACAAGGATGAAAAACACAGATGCAGATCTTTTTCAGAGTGATAATGTAAAGGCTTGTTTCATGATTTTTCAGGATGTTATGCCTGCTTAATTCCTCGGTGACGTATCTTGTGTCTAAAGACGAACCACTCCTCTAAGACCAGGTTTCACGGCATATTGCATCGTTTCCGCGCACCCAGTTGCCTAAGAGGAAAGGTCACTTAAACAGATCACCACTGCGTGGCATATGATCGATTGCACTATCAGGTGCACATTCCATCCATCACATAGCTGCCACTCAGTAGGTAACTAAAAACAAGGGTGCCTGGGGAGAGAGGTGCGTGAAAAACGATAGGATGTTACTGTGATTTCCTGGTGTTTCCATCTGAAATATGATGCCCGTTTTATGCCTTAAACTATTTCAATTAGTTTGCCTGCACAAGCTATACTATAAAATATATACTTGCCAGTTTATTGATATCAAAGCCAGCATCGAGCAGGATGCGGACGACGCTTGTATCGCCCGTTTCGGCGGCAAGGTGCAATGCACTGACAAACGGAGCAGTGGTCGACGAGTTCTTGCACTTGTTGTACTCAAGAGTTTGTACGTCGATCACCAGATCAGGGCGTTCCTGTATGATGCATTGAGCGACTTTTGGCCAACCGAATTTCGCAGCCACGTCGAGACAATTCTCGCCCAGTCGATTGACGAGCTTTGCGTCGGCACCGTGCTAAAACACAAAATTTTACGACTATAAAAGTGGATATGGAAAAATAGAAAAGAAAGATCCAAAGCGGGTCGAAAGAACAGTGTCAAAGATCAGAAAAACAGCAAAATCGAGCTTGAACTGCTTAAACAAACAAGAAGAAACAACCTGGGGTAACACCGTAACTCTAAATTTAATAATACTACTTTAACAGCGTAGCATTTCAGTAGGTCCACTGTTTCTAGCGAACACGTAGAAAACAGACACGATGAGTAGTACACATGCACAATCATCAAAATTTTGTGCCCATTTCAGAATCTCACAAGCTCAGATGCTAGTTTGCCATCTACTAACTAATTAACTGGGCTCCATCGCTTCCACCGATGGCACCATTCAAACACTGTTAAATAGGAAGGAGGTTTGCACTGGTCTCAAATACCTTGAAAGCCTGTAAAACGTCGAGGCGCAGAAACCGCTAGTACCTACCATAAAATTTCCCTTGTACCTCGCCTCTGTCATATCAGGACAGGATGACGTACGGCAAGAAGATAGTCGTCCTAAAAAAGAGGAAGAACGAGGGCAGCGTTGGTTTCTACCCATAA